TTGTACCTTTGTGTGCATGTGTGTGTATACATGCATCTGTGTGTAAACAGCTGACAAGTAGTTGACAAAGCATGCAAGGATTGAAGGCACGCATTTAGGTTTCACTTTGTCCAGGAGAACTTCGTGGCCACCAAGCTTACCCCAGTAGCACCACCTGTATATGTCCCTTTCCGCTCTTGGTCTTTCCTAACTATAGCACAAGCCAATGGCCTCCAACCCCACTGGGCCGCTAGAAAGTTTGAGGGCAATTATATATCTATACCTCGTCTTTGCAGGATGTCTACCCGCACTTTCGCCGCATCCCAAAGAACCACTGGTCGAAACAATCAAGGCACTTCTTCGTCACGGCATAAAACGTGCGTGCACACACCGAGGAATCGCCCAAGTGCGCACCGCTGGTGGAATGTGAGTAATGCGAGAATGCCAACACTGCGAAGGGACTCGACGCCGCTTGTTGGGAACTTTCCCTCCCAAGGCCACCTACGCACACGTGCGCATGACATGCAAGCGAAGAGCGCGTGCATGTGCAGAGCCATACGTCCTCTGCTCGGGGACTATTTATCAGCTCGTTTCAAGCGCTGTATGGCCTCTAATTTTGGCAGTATCAATAGTAAATGGAACCGAAATTTCTGTCGCACCTACCATTTCGTGTTACAGAGAAAAATCTAAAAAAAAAATGAACAATCTACAAGGAGCTATCGCGATGTTTATGCATCGTCTCCATAGAATGCATGTAAAAGACAAATGAATGGATGGATGCTATCGGCATACATTTTATAACGAAGCAGTGACATGTGTGCCTCCAGGCTTTCAAGGAAAAAAACGAAATCTCTCTTTTTATGTTGGCATAATACCTTATCTACTTCGATTAAATTTATATTATTACAACGAAGAAAAATATAAATTTGTGTTCCATCTCTGCCTCTTCAGGCAGAATGACATTTTCCCACTATTTCTGTATTTTATCTCTACTTTTCTCCCACCAGTGCTCTGTCTCTAACTTGCTTCCATCGCAGACGTGTTTAGCTTTCCATGTTTGTGTCTGAAACTCAAGGCCTCGTGTAGGCTTGTACCCACATGTATACCTAGGAGGATATTGTTGCATTAAATCAAAACATGTTCCATCATTTCCTTAACTCCCCCACAGCATGTACATTATTCAATTCTTTATTGAATCTCGCTTTATGACTACACATTCTAAGGTAACCAGACCTTGCTTTGAACAGTAAAGCACTCGCCTTTGAATTATCATAAAACCTCTCTCACCTTATTTCGTTTTTGCCCTTCCTATAGTTACTGAGAGCTGGCTTCTTTTCTATCCCTGTCATCCCAATTGTTGGAATGGGTGTACACGCGGCAAAAACCCACACAACTGTGCAGCATGTATCCCAAACATCAACTGGTTTTATTCGGTTTCTCTAGAGATTCAAGAAAGCAGCGGAGGTTTGCACTGCCTGGCGGCTTGGCTTGGCTGCCGCCACAGCACTCCCCCCTTGTAGTCAGTTGCCGAACGGAGTTACAGGTCCATGCGAGTGGGTGCTCTTGACAGCCGCCCGCTGTGCGTCAGCCAGGAGGGCACCTCGTGGACTTGGGCTGGCATTGGAGCTGGGGATCCTAGCAATAATTCTCTTAGCAGGGGCAACACGGCGTCGACACGGTTCATGTGTGCTGGCTTGGCGCAGTCCAACGACACAACCTCCTCACAGCCGCTTTCTTTGATTGTGAATTGTTTGTTGCCACAGCGGAGGACTTGAAACAACCCATCATAGGGTGGCTGAAGATTGATTGATATGTTGGGTTTAACGTCCCAAAACCACTATATGATTATGAGAGACGCCGTAGTGGAGGGCTCCGAAAATTTCGACCACCTGGGGTTCTTTAACGTGCACCCAAATCTGAGCACACGGGCCTACAACATTTCCGCCTCCATCGGAAATGCAGCCGCCGCAGCCGGGATTTGAACCCGCGACCTGCGGGTGAGCAGCCGAGTACCTTAGCCACTAGGCCACCGCGGCGGGGCTAGGGTGGCTGAAGAGGTCGCCGGACCGTGTCGTGTCGTACGAACACGTATGGGCACGATATGAGCAGTGGGTCAACCCGAACCACACACGATCCTGGGGGCCATAGAGGTACCGCGCGCAGTTTTCTCATACCAAAAAGAACGAGTGGGAGGGCCTTCACCCAGCTGTGTTCCTCGGTTGCCGTGAGTGCAGCCTTCAGCTGGCAGTGAAAGTGCTCCACCATGCCATTGCTCATGGGGCGGTACGCCGTCGTGCGTATGCGTGAGGTGCCCATGGGCTGACTGATCGTGGTGAAAAGAGCTTATTCGAATTGTCAGCCATGGTCTGTTGTTATCCTGAAGAGAGCCCTGAAACGAGCTACCCAGTGGTACAGGAAAGCACTCGCGACCGTTTTGGCAGTGATGTCCATGATAGGGATGGCCTCCGCCCAGCGGGTGAGCCTGTCCACACAGGTCAGCATGAAAACCTATCCGTGGCAGGATGGCAGTGGGCCAACGATGTCAAGGTGGACACGATCAAAGCGAGAATCTGGAGTGGGTAGTGTTCCCAGTGCTGTTGAGGTATGGCCTTGTATCTTAGAGTGCTGGCAAGCTACACATTTATGCGCCCAGTGTCAGACGTTCCGATTTACACCCAGCCAGACAAATCTTGGCTTGGCTTGGCTGCCGCTGCACAATAAATCTTCTCCGCCTCTCTGCTTTTCGCCTAATGCTCCTTGTTGCCATGTCACCTACACTGCCAGCCGTATATTAACTTGTGAGCCTCCTAGTTCTTTTTCTCCACTTTGTGTCCAAGCTCTTCCTTTATAAATACCTGAACACCTTCCCTGCCCATCTACTCTTTTTCATTTTCCTAAGGCTCTCTTCCAATCTCATTTTGCTCTGAGCTTTCCTTACTTCACAGCCTGTCCATCCCATATCCCTCTGTACAGCCTCAATCGTTGTCTTCCCGTGAGCACCCAACGCGAGGCGTCCCACAGTCTTTAAATTTACATCCATTCCTAATTGCACCACTGACTTAATGCACACCACTGAGTTTCCAAATGTAAGCCCTGGAACCACTACACCTTTCCACATACCTCAAAGCACTTTGTACCTATTGTATCCCGATAATGCTCAGTGTTTCATTATTGCAGCATTTCTCTTTCTCTTTGCTGTCAATGTTTTTTTTCTTGTACTTCCATATATCTATCTCCCTCATTTACCCATGGCAACACGCTGATAGTCCAGAGATGCTGAGATGGCAACACGTCAATAGCGTCATCTGTTGAGCTTGAGCATAAACCGTTTCCCTCTGTGATGCTATCGCGCTGCCCTTGCATAGTGCCGTGGCCTAGAAGTTTCTTTTCCTCAAATATTCTTCCTCTATGGGTTGAATGACACCGTGCTCCATCCTACTTTTAACAGTGGAGCTGCTTTAACTGAAGGTTTCACTGTGAGGCATTCACAAAAATTCAGTGGGTGAAAGCTAATATGTGCCAAGCACCACCTAGCATAGCAAGGGGGGTGGAAATGAAAGTGAGGGAGTGAAGAAGGGAAAAAAGCAGGGCATATAAAAAAGCAAAGCATGCTACGTACAGCATAGTAATATAGCAAGAGTTGAGAAAGAGTAATGAGGGTAAGCAGGAGTGATGCAAGGGTGAGGAAGAAGAAAAGAGGAGTGAAGCATAGCCTAGCCTTGCTGGTGTATCTTGTGGCGAGAACGGGAAGTGTGGGTGAGGAGGAGGACAGAGGGTGCAGCATAGAATAGCCATGTATAGCAACCAGTGGGAAAAGAAAATGAGAGAGAAGAGACATGGAGGCTAGGAGAAAAGAAAAGAGAAAGAAAATTCCACCAGCTCCGCTGTTTCCTCACTCTCCGCACCACTAGAGCATTCCTGTCCCATTTTCCCCTTTTTTCATGTTTATTTGTTATGACACTGGGCACTGCTTCCTTACAGGTGACAGAAGATTATGCCACTTTTCTAATAGTACCATTTATAGTACGGTTTTATGGTCTGCACTTTCCAGCTATCCCACTGAAATGTTGACATTGTTTTAGTACTGTTGGGGTGTTCATGGAATATGAAAGAGTGCAAAGAGAAAGGCGGCAAAAGTTCTAACTCTAAAAGCAATCCCCTGGGCAGCAGAAAGCTGACACCGCAAAGATAGTGAGCATACCATTCAAAGCGTTTATGTCAGAGGCATAGCCGGGGTTTGACTATGTGCCCATCTCAAATTTTAGTTCAAGATATAAAAGCATAAAATGACACAGGACACCGCCCACCTGTCTTCTATCACTACCCCTTTAATTTTAACTGGCATCACGTTTAACTGGAAATCACGTTTTCACTATGGTGCCCACCAAGCATCGATACGAATCGTCAACACCACCTGTCCTCTTTGATGGCTCTCTGCATGCCCACTGGACTCGACCGAAGAGAAGCCACCCTTCATCGCTTATGGCTTTTATGGTTATGGCACCCTTCTTCATCGCTTATTCCTTTGTCATAGGAATGGGCAACAATGCTCTATGCGATTGTTGTCATTGCGAAGAGACGCTACACCACTGTGACTGTCCGTTGTATGAAATCCAGAGACAGTCACTGGCGTCCGCTTTTGCGCGCATCGACAACAGCCGAATGTCTGTGGACACTATTCTGTCAAGTGCTCGAGAGAAGACATTGCACAGAAGGCGACGAAAGCTCTGTTGAAATTCCTATGCGACACGGACTTGAACAAGCGACTGTGACAGTAAGGTCACACACCGTGAAAGACAAGACTGGACTATGAGTGTTCGCGTGTGTGCTGCTGAATGTGCTGTGTTTCTCTCTTCCCTCTCTGCTCTCTATCTTTCATCTCCCCCATCCCTCTCCCATGCGCAGGGTAGCAAACCAGCTGCCTATAGACTGGTTAACCTCCCTGCCGTTCTTTTCCCCCTGTTTTCCTTCCTTCCTTAACTGGCGAATTCAGATGGGAGTAACGAGAAGTGTACACTTACTTGAGGAGGTTCTCCAAAGCCACTCTACTGTTGGATAGTACCTGTGGCAAGCAAAAGAGAACAAAAAACATGAGAGTTGTCAGGGGCCACTATATTAGCATGAAATTCTAAGCACTGACTGCAAAAAGTAGAAAAAAAAAAACAAGATGCATAAAAAGAAGCTTGAAAATTTGAACAGTTCTCAATATGTGTGTTCTGCTTAATGCCATTAGTGCCCAAAAGAGGGAAAAAAAAATCCTGAAGTGAGACCATCTGGATATGAATCATGACACACAAGTGGGACACCCTTTCAGCAGCTTATCACCACAGTTGTCATTACTGCTGCATAACATACTACATAACAAATTTAATCAAAGCTCTTGGTGGCAACAAAGTGAAGGAAACGAAAATGGTCACTTCTATGCTACTGCATGTACCCTTTTCTGCCAAGCTTAGAGTACGTTATTCGTGAGAGGTGAATGCATAAATACTTGGTTCTAGTGCTATACTAAAAACACAGCAAAGGAATAATTGTCATTCACACATTTGTAGCCTGAAACTACAAAGAAAATCTGTAGACATTCCTCCGAGAGAAAGCTTCTTGGCCAGCAAGCAATGGCCACATGCATTTGTAGAGCTGACTCTCTTTTCATGGCAAGTCAATGATGAGGTCAGGCCTTGTAGGCTCAGTAACCGCTATAGTACACAGCAGTCCTCAGCAGTGTCAAGTAGCTGCTATGACAAGTAATGAGTGTCTACCATGCGAAAAAGCATGCGCATATCCAGACGCACATACCAGCTGACCTAGAGGAGACAAGTGTATCGTAAGCATGATAAAAGCTCACTTCTAAAATTAAAAAAAAATGACATTTTTTCAAAAACTATAGTTTGCACATTTTTCCCTATTTTTGAGTGCTTGGCCTCACCCCAAGCACTTGAACTTCATGTGCTAAAATGTCCTAAATCTATTCTTATACTAAAATATATAACAAAAGAATCTAATCCCTTCCACACCAACCTGAAAATTTTCTTGAAAGCAAGCATTACCGTATTTTTCGGTGTATGAGACGCGGTTTTTTTCCAAAATTTTCGGAGGTGCGTCTTATACAACGGTGCGTCTCATACTCACTTTTTTTGGTAGTTTTTTTGGGGAGAAACTCGTGTTGATGCTCATCAGTCTTTTTTTTTTAAACCACTAGAGCAGTCCAATGCGAATTATGCATCATAATTATAATAACGAACACTCAACGTGCCGGTACTACAGTTTTAAAACAAAACCAAAGTACATAAAACGGAAAAATTTAAAAAAGTATGTCGTCGTGCGAGTTCTCAGCTCACTGAAGCTGCGCAAGTTTCGGAGGCTGTACCATAGAGAGCTGTACTCAGTGAGTGAAATCGGCGTAAGATGGCGATAGGTGCGCGACGGGTTCGGCGGTTTGGTTCGGATTCGGCCGCTACTGCGGCTACCACCGCTACGCTGTCGTTCAGCGAGTTGGACTAGTCGCCATTTGCAACTTCATTCGTTCGGTTGGTCCGCGCCTTTGTTACCTTCACCTGCAGTATGCCGGCTAAACGGAAAAGTTACACGGCGAGTTTAAGCTTGCTGCTGTGAAGTATGCAGAGGACTACGGAAACCGGGCAGCGGGCCGTCATTTCGACGTCACGGAGAAGATGGTCCGCACATGGCGACAGTCGACTGATAAGCTTCAGGCCATGAAGAGTGACAAGAAAGCTGACCGCGGCAAGAAAGCACGATGGCCAGACCTTGAGGGATGTCTGCACTCATGGATACTGGAGCAGCGTGCCAAAGGTAGGGCGATGTCAACGGGTGCAGCTGCGTCTCAAAGCGCAGGCGCTAGCTAGGAGGTGGGCGCCGTTGATTTGTTGGCGGGCCGTCCTGGTGCTCCAGATTTATGCGCCGCAAAGCGCTGGCGATGAGGGCCCGCACAGCATGTGCCAGAATCTGCCAGCAGATTTCAAGGACAAGCTTGAAAGATTCCAGGCTTTCGTTAAGAAAGCCATTGAAGACGATGGCATCGGCAACAGCCATATAATAAACATGGACGAGGTGCACTTACGTTTGACATTCCAATGGAAAGGAGTGTGGCACCGAAAGGTGACAAGTCTGTCACCATCAAAACTACCGGCCACGAAAAAGCGCACTTCACGGTTGTGCTGGCATGTTGCGCCGACGGGCAAAAACTTCCGCCAATGATTATATTCAAGCGGAAGACGATGCCGAAAGAGTCTTTCCCCGGGAAGCCTGGTGTCGTCATAGAAACGAATGTGAAAGGCTGGATGAACGAAGAGATGATGGGCAAGTGGCTTGAAAAATGCTTTTCTAAGCGACCGGACGGTTTCTTTCATGCGAAGAAGGGCCTCCTGGTATTGGATAGCATGCGGGCGCATATAACGAAGCTCACTTTGAAGCGCATCAAGGCGAAAAACCGCACCGCTGCGGTTATCCCAGGCGGGATGACAAAAATGCTTCAGCCGTTGGACATCTCGATGAACCGCAGTTTCAAGGCTATCCTGCGGCGCCTGTGGGAGTCATGGATGTCCGACGGCGAGCATAGCTATACCACAACTGGACGCATGAGGCGTGCTTCGTTTTGCGAGGTCGCAAAGTGGGTGCGCGAAGCCTGGTGTGCGGTTGTCACAGGCCACCATAACTGCGGGGTTCCGCAAGGCAGGCCTGCTAGCATCCTCAGCCCCTGTCCTCGACGACGACGACAGCAGCAGCAGCAGCGATTCCGAAGAGGAAACAGAGGAAGTCCCAGCGTCACTGCCGCCAGAGCTCGCTGAACTATTCCAAAGCGCGTCGGAGGACAAGGACTTTGAGGGCTTTGAGGAATAAAATGTTTTCCTGCAGTCGTGCGGAACGTTTCAGTGGGTGCGCATTATTTTTTTCTCACAAATTCGGTGTAGTATAAGTTTTCTTACGGACTGGCGCTCAGAAACGTAAGTACGGCATTTTACAATGCTCGCTCAACTGCACGTTATGAAGTTTCTTTGCAGAAAGTGAGTGAATGTAGGTGCGTCTTATACACCGGTGCGTCTTATATATTAATTTTTGCATGAAAACTTGCGAAAACTGGGGGGTGCGTCTTATACAAAGGTGCGCCTTATACACCGGAAAATACGGTACCTTTGAAAACACCATTACCTTTAAAAGATGGTGACATTCAATGATAGTGGCACCTACACTTTGTCGCACGATAAAATGGAGAATATATCAAAACCATTATCAAAAAAAACTTGCCCGTGTGTCATCCCCATTAATGGGGGACGTGCCTTCCGAAGCAAATTTTCTTGTTTCTTGTTAGATATTGATGAAAATTGGCACAGACATTAAAAATGGCCTCACAGTGCTTCCATAAAAATTTCGAGGCGGTACCACGAAAAACTTGACGAGAGAAATTATTTCTTAATTAAACCTCGTTGAGGGGCTACAGGATTTATAAAATGTCAAAAAAAGTTGGCAATTACTGTAAACACAGCCAAATAAATATATGCTGAAAAGGGCTGCATTTACAAAGCATTTTTTTACAACACTAAAACATATAGTTACCATTTTCTTCAGCGACACTGCAATGAGCTGCTGATGATGACACCTATACATATTGGTCTCTCCTGGTGGCAGAATATAGCACAATGCCGTTTTTGTGACCTCCGCGACTAGCTACGGCAATGAGCCATAACAAACAACGGAGGCCAAGCTATTTGACTCATTTTTACTTTTTTATCGCAAATGAACTATTTTTTGTAGAATTTCAAGCAATTAAGATTATTAAAATCGTAAGCACGGTCGAAATTCATACATTACGGGAAAATCGAAAGAGTTGGCAGGTATGTGAGCACACTTTCACTACAAACAAGAAGCCCTACAAAAACACTTCAGGCAAGAAAATGAAAAACTAAGATCGTAGCCTTCAGAAGCACAGTTCAAGGAACGTTACAAAATAAACAAAATCAAAATCTTTGAAGTGATTGCCACAATATTTATTCCACGAGCTGACCATATAGCCAAAAAAAACAGTATTGAGAAAACAGCATTTAAAGTTTCACTTTACGTCTCTAAAATGCCTAAAAATTGTGATCTTAGGTTTGTCTTGTAATATTTGACTTCTCAGGCAAGTGACCTGGATCTACACAGTGTGCCTTTGTAGCCTACATTTTTTTCATAAACTCCCTTTTTTTGCACCACATGAAGTCACCTTATGTTTTCGTATTTTAACATCTGTGACAACAGGGTGGTGTTCAAAGTGGTGTTTGGTGCGTTGTGGGGTATCTTTGTTGTGCGCAGTGCCGTGTTGTAAAAATTTTTCAAGAAAACATTCGCACTAATTTATTTTATAAATCACTTTTATATTGCACCGCTTTCGACACCATTAGATTTTATATGTCAAGTACTGAGCGCACTTATGCGAATATGTGCTGCTTCTGTACCGACTAGACTTCTCAAATTTTTTTTTTCAGTTACTGGCTTCGAGATTGACAACCACCGCTTGTTATTGGACACCTCGATAATTGCCCACAGCGTGATCTTACCATAAAAAAAAGGCTCTTTACCATCCATTTCTCCACGCACGTCGAAAAAGTCCCACATTGATTATTCTAAGGTAAGGGGAATGGCGTGGTTCTCATTTAATTTACTACATCGAGAATATTGTATAGCTTTACATGAATTTGAGTGCGTGTGTCTGCATGTGCATCCATGTGTGTGTGCATGTGTGTGTGTGCTCATGAGTGTGTGGGTGGTGCGTGTGTGTAGTTTTAAATGTGCATGTGTATTTAAACAATTGTTATGGGTTCTATTACATTCCAGCTAATTGGAGCTCCAAAGGCATCAAAACTGCCACAAAGGTAATTCAAATGTTTTAAGCACTCCCTTACAAGCTTGCATAAGTAAGCACATTTTAGAATGAAATTACATTATATGAAGTTAAGGTCATTCTCGCTTTGCTGTTTTAACACTTAATTGTTGAAACATTTTTTTTTCATTTTTTGAAGATATAGAAATTGCTGTCCAGAATTGCCAGATCTTGATGTCACCCATACA